TTTGCTCCCCCAGCTGACAGCCGAGTCCCACTTCATGAAAGACCTGGGTTTGGACAGTTTGGACCAAGTGGAAATCATCATGGCTATGGAAGATGAGTTTGGTAATTCAGGACTGTGCACGCTCCGATTCCTCACTGCCTTTGTTTTTTTGGCCAACCTTTAAGTGCAGCTGTAGCGAGCGAGTGTCGGTTCTTCCCTCTGAACAGTGACGCTGGCTTTCCTCCCGTGTAATTCAAGGAACATCGTGCAGCTCCCGGTCAGCAAGAGAGTGCGCTGTGCGCTGCTCGCTGTCAGGAGCAGGCGTCTGTCCGTCTGCTGCCAAGCCGGGTCCCACCGGGAGCACTGGCTGCGTTTCTCTCCAAACCCCTCCTGGGCAGCACCCCTTGTGCTGCTGGGGGGTGTGGACAGCGGCGTGCAGGTGCAGGCAGCGGGTATCGCATTTAGCACGAAGGCCGCGTCTGGAGCCCATCTTGGCTCCTGCTCCTGAAGTCACAGACGTTCCGGGTCTTTCCTCACCAGAGTTTCTTTTCATCCTCAGTACTTGATGCTACTAGAAAAAAGTGGGGTTTCTTCCTTATTAGTTTATATTCCAAGTTTCTTTTTACATCATTTTGGCCTGCTTCATGCTTTCATTTAAAGCTCTAAATTCTGGCCTACATGCCTGACTTGTCGCATTGGGCCATACATGTCCCTGGGGTTTGGCCGTTCTCTACAGCCTGGGCAGATGTTTCAATTCCAGAGCCCTCGTTCACGCTGTGTATTTAATCCCCTTACCGCTGCCATGGGTGTTAGCGTGTGGCCATGTGGACTGGAAAGAAGAACCCAAACTTTCTGGAATGTACATCTGACCAGCTCCACAGCCGAGAGCCCTTGCGCTCCCCACACCGGCTGCGGCTCTGCACAAGCTGTCGGTTGTACGAGCGCTCAAGAGCAGGCTCTGAACACGAGGGGCTCCGGGCCCTGGCGTGCCTGGGGTTATCACGAGCAGCCCCTCCCCTCGGCACTGGGGGCTGGGGGGGCTCTGGGAGGCCTTGGTGGCTTTAACGAGGCGCGAGGGGCACTCGCTTCCTTATCCAGAAGCCGCATCGTGTAAGGCAGAGCGCAGCTGGAAACTCAGTGTAGCAGTGAGGTGTTGGCTCCGTCACAGCTTCTCCCCCGCCAAGCTGCAGGCGTCTGAGCCAGCAGTAATTGCTTCCTTTAGCCTTGCACCCGTTTCCATCGTTTTGGGCTAAATACGTGCACTTTCTTCCAGGATTTGAAATTCCTGATGGAGATGCAGAGAAGTTAATGTGTCCGCAAGAGATTGTAGATTACATCGCAGATAAGAAGGATGTTTATGAATAAAAAACAGTTCTTCAAAGCTGGGTAAGTAGAAATGCGCTCCTGCGAACGTCTCGGGTAGCGACGGCGCGCACGGGCTGCCACCACACGGGCTGCACCCACACGCGTGACGCCTGTGGAGGGGAGCGTCGGACGCCCTGCGGCAGGCAGGGGTCTGGCAAGTCTGGGAGGGAGCTGGCAGCAGCTGCTTGCTCTGAGCGGGGAGGATAAAGTGTCCGTGTTTCCCTGAGGCATCAGCTGTTGGAGGGAGCGCTCAGTGACCTTTCATCTCGCCCGGCGTGGCGCTTCAAGCACGGAGGTTACCCACAGGTCTTTTAGGAGGTGGCGAGTTGACTTCAGTCACGAAAGTCCACCCTTTTGGTGCTCCTCGGCCATGCGCAGAGCGTGCCGGGGCGGCACCTCCGGAGGCGTGCGGTAGCACCGCTCCCAGCTGCCCGTAGCAACCGTTTCCTCCCCACCAGCCGGAGCCTGGAGCAGGAAGGGAAACGGGCAGGAAAGGGTTGTTGGAGCGACCGCCCCGAGGTGCTCTGGGGCTGCAGGGGAAATGAGCCGGTGGCCCCAGGCCAGCGTGCAGCGGCGGATGGGCCCGCGTTCCTGTTTGTTCCTGCCTGCACTTCTGGCCTCCCCCCGCGCTCCTCCCGGCTCGGCGGGGGCTGCTCCCCATTGCTCCCACAGCCGGGGTGCAGCGATTCGAAAGACCCGTGGGCTCCTGACGTGCCTGCTTTTGGTATTCAGCTTGTCTCGTCTCTGCCTGACCCACTTTTTTGTGCCTTAAAATGGTAGTTCTTGGCTGATGGAATGTGAAATATGTGGATTTTCTTTTTTTTCTTTTTAAACAGGAGCTGTCTCTACCACCAGGACTGGGCTGGTGTCAGTGGGTATGAATATAAGCGCACATGCTGTACCTTTGCTGCTTTCATCGGGAAGTTGTACTTGGACGTTGTATTTAAAGCTGTCTGAATATGTTGTCCTTTAAAAACAAGAAAAAAAAGGAATAAACATATAAGACCATGTTGCATTGATGGCTTTTCCGTTTCATGCTGTGTCGGCGGCTCACTGCGTTAGTGTTCAGCCTACGAAGGCTGGTTCGGGGATGAGCGAGTGGCTTGGCTAGAAACGCCCGTCTCTAACGCGGGCTTTGACCGGTGGCGCGGCCTCTGCCTGCCCGGGGCCCGTTACCTGTGGGGTAAAAGCCCCGTCTGCAAGGGGAGGTGTTTGTGGGTCTGCCGAGCTCTGAGCGTGTCTCGCTGGGAGCATTTTGCCCTTCGCCCTCTCCGCGTGGGCGAAAGCGCTAGCGGCACTGGCACGGCCGCTCTGCACAAAGCGCTCTGCCCTGATCCGGAGCTCGTTGTGTGTGTTGTCTGCTCGTCCCAGTAAAGCACCCTTCTGCTGCCTTCACTGTTTATTTCATCAGTGCTGGTAAGAACGAGCAAGTTCCATTTGAAAGGCTTCTGCTTTCCTGATGGAAAATAAAGGGGGGAATGGCTTCCCTGCTGCTGAAAAGCAAAATCGCATCAGTATTTCTGTAAGCCCAACTAGTCTCAGCACGGGAGGCTTGCTTTAAATCATCTCTCCCGAGACAGAAACAAGTTATTTGTGGACACTGCACAGTTTTTCCTCTGAGCCAAGAGCCACTTTCGTATGTCAAAGAGGCACTGCCAGGCTGTGAGCCAAGAAAGCGTCGCTTGATAGCGTGTCCTCTGGCGATCGGGGTGGCGGAGCATGGAAAATAGAGTCAGCTCTGCCAGTGCGGCACACGGTGCCGGAGTGTGGTGTGGGTGTTCTCAGGGCTTCCTCTGGAGCTGCGTTTCACTTTTAAAATCGCACGGCGCTGAACCCTGGGCCAGCTGGGTGACCCTCTGCCTCCAGCGCCCAAGTTTCACTTTCGCTGTGCACGAGGCCCGTGCCTTTGGAAACTGCTTAATCGCTCCATCGCCCCAAGCGCCTTCTGAAACCTCCGAACAGGCTGCACGGTGGAAACGGGGGAGAAGCGGCCGTTTTGGCCACCCGCGCCCGTGGTGGTTTCGAGGCGCCTGCTCGGAGGCAGGAGCGACAGTGGCTGTGGAAAACTTTGCGACCCAGGCGCGCCGGTGCGGTCGCGAGTGTCGTTTGGCGGCATGGCCC